GCGCATGTGCGGGATGAGATGAAGAAGGGCAAGGTTCACGCCTACTTCCTAGTGTAAGTGATTTATAGCTCTATAGCTCTAGGGGTTGAAAGATGTACTAACGAATGGTTCAGGTATTCCGTTTGGGGCCGGAAACCTGAGAGGGAAGCTTCCGAGCCGCCTGAAGCATAGGTGACTCTTGACATAAGGAACCGTTTCCTTTCGTCTAGATAGATTGATCCAAGAGACTTTTCATCTGCAGAGCACATCCTCTCATTGAAATTAGCCTGAAAGTTTCCCCAAAGACCCTTAGCCCGACCCCGCCGCTCGCGCTAGGTACCCACCATGATTTTCTAGACCGGGCCGATTCGGCCCCACCGACTCGGAGAGTAAGATGCACAAATGCAGGAAACCCGAGTCGAACGGGATCTAGCAATCTTTATTCCTTTAATCTGAAGTCTGTTCTATGCCGCAAAGACATAATGCTGGGAGTGACTGTTCTCGGCGCGGATGGCAGATATTTGCCGCGCCACAGCTATCCATCATGTTAGCGACTAAGACGGAGTCAAGCAGATGGCTGCATGTGTTCCTGGAATAGTCAACGTCAGACCACGACCGTTGAACGTCTAAAAAAGGTCGACCCAAATGGACCATGGGAGCTGGTTATTTGGCGGTAAGCCCTTGTCGGATCTGCTTGTGACATGAGTGGCATTGAGACCTGGGGGAAGCTCAACTACCCCAAATTTCTGACGGGCGAACCACACAAATATGGCGAACTGGAGGCGCGACGAATCCTGCCTTGTCGGCTGCACCCGTCCCCCAAAGAACGAATGACTTGACGAAAAGACCAACCACGGCGAAATGTGCGTACATGTCGTCCAATTGAACCTGATATCTCGACGCTGTGGAGGAGGCGTCCTGCTGCCTCGTTTGCCTCATGGCCAACCTCAACCATCAAAGCCTCAACTGTGTTCACGACCTGCTCTCAGATCATTGGCCAGATTTATCCACTCTCCGACGCATGGCATATACCCGCATCAGTCGTGTGCTTGACTTATCTGCCCGAACTTGGCGGAGGTAGAAGTGGTACTTGAACGCCATACAACAATGGCAGGGAACTGCAGATGCAACGAAGTAGCTGCTGGCATGCTCGTCAACTTTCAGGCAGCAGATTGTTCAAGTGATGCTGCCGCCTCGATAGTTCCCTCCAATGGACATGTTGTGGACAAAATCCTTCGTTGCGACCCTGACTCCGACAGTTTTCATATAATATGGTTCTCGACTCGATTGCGTTGAAGGAAAGTCGCCCTGTTGAACCTCAGTTTCATTCTACTTTTTGTTATCTTTTCTAGACGCGAAACCCTCGAATAAAGCTCAAAATCTTCGCCAAGCCCTCGACGCTAGTTTCATATCACTGTTGCACAGGCACGCCACGCTCAGATGGACATCAGCTCTACCAGAACATTAGTGAACGGGTGCGTAGTCTTAGCACACGGACTCACATACCATATTGATTGTAATACATTACGACTTGTATTCCACATTGAATCAGCGGAGCGTTGCTTTTATAGACCGTAGTAGCAAGTATTTGGACTGACATGGACTGTAATCCAGTGAAAACCCAGCCAACATTATCGGTTCCGACGTTGACGCCGCCAAGTCGCAAGAGAAACAACGCGTCGCCTCCTTCTTGGCCGACAGGAATGGTCCCGTCCCTCTTTTCAGCCAGAGCAAAGCCTCTATTCGCCAGCGTATTGACCATAGAACCAAGATCATACACGAAGCCATCTCCAAAGTGAAGAAGTGAAAGCGATGTGTGAGGGTTGGACCTCTCTCTCTGCACGTCAAAGAATGATGCTCACCCAATCAGAATCTATCAGTAAGACTAGGATTTCATGATTGGAATCATGAGATTGGCTAACAAGCAACAGATGCTGACCTACAACGCCTCTGATGGCTAGGTGTGTCAGCTCAGCTACCTAATACGGCTTCCGTAATTATTCTGCCCCGCTCGGATCCGATCCATACACCGTCTCGGGTCCGCTCCGGCCGGGGTCACCGGCTGACACCCGAGTTTCGTTATCTACATGTGCTCCAGGCACCGGAAAAACAGACAAAGACACCGAAAACAAAGGCACAATGCCAGTGAGAGAGACTAAAGCGGGGCCAGCCGTCGCTTTTGCCGAGTATATACCTCTACTAGCACTGCCGATAGGGGCCGCAACTAAAGAGTTGGCTGAGTGCAGGCTGCCCGTTCGCACCATGCAATGGTGCAACAGGTGCAGTAAGGCAGCCAGACTGCGACCTTCTATATCACCCACGATTCCCCTCCACACCCAAATTGCAAATCCCCTTCCACCTTCTTTTCCTTCGAAACATGTCGTCACTCTGTGGATCTCGCAAGCCACGTTTTTTCGGAGATTTCCACACTATCTTCCTCTCGGCTGAAGCCACCTCGGCGGGTTGCTACTGGCGACGAGCCTGTCAAAGCAATTCCTATTTTAGGACAGCGCAGCGACGCATGCGGCGATCCAAGCAGCCTTTAACCGACGGAGGTGCAGGTGTCACAGATGCTGCAGGCATTCAAAGGATAATATTGAGATAATCCTTTGGAGAGAAAGTGTCCAGAAACTTGTGTAATTAACGATTAAATGATACATGTGGCTGCCCGTGCCCCAGAACGCCGTGGATATCATGCTAAACCCCATTGCCCAGTGTCATTCAATCGTGATAATACAGGTTTTGACTGCTATGTTGTTTCCCTCAGGGTTAACACGTACGGCAAATCGGTCGAGTCTGTTCGGGTTGCCAGTCGGATGACTGAGCCCGATGCCGAGCTTCCGGATGCCCTTGATCTCATACTGGCGCTAGATGAGAGGTGACTAGGTCCGTACGCCGGCCGAGACTGAGCATAGCTGTTTAAGCTCGATGATCTGGATATTGCACCGCCTAGGGTACCTATATTTGGTGTTGCAGGTGCTGTACGGTATTGAAGCCAAGTGTGTGCTGAAGAGTTGCGCGCATCCATCTGCGGCACCCTCTTCTTTTGAAAGGAGCCTTGTGTGCTCTGCGTTGCGGAACGGGACAGGTTGCTTCGAGGCGTGGTCGGGTTTGTGCCCATGGGCGCGTCGTTATCGATATCGCTCTCTTCGCTGGGCTCATCCGCAAAGCCTAACATGGTTGGATCTAGAGGTCGCATGCCTCGGAGGATAGCGGCAAATAAGTGCATTAACTCGCGAAACCGTGCATTCGATATTGGCCGGGTGGAGAATCGCGCATATTCATAAGCGGCCAGGAAGTCTGCGGTCGTCGCGTTAAGCGAAATGACACCCAGCTCAGCCAGGTGTCCGAAGTAATCGCGCAACCCCATTTGCAGAGGTCGCTGCAGAAGTGCTACGGCATCAGGATCGAGCAACGGGGGGATAGTCGAGGATTTTGGATCGGGGGGCGCAGACGTAAGCGCCTTCGCCTCGATGAGGTTCGGTAGTTCGGAGAGGACGGTGCTGTATTGTAGATCGGGAAGATCGAGGGAGTTGGGGGACGACCAGCCGTAGTGTTCGATTTCGCCCCAGACTGGTCGTCGAGGAGGCAGTGCTATGCCTGTCTCCTTCTCTGTCGTGGCGGGTTTCTTCAGACTCACGAGTTGAAACCTTTTCTTGCCTTCGCTGCCTCCGCTGTAGGTTTTCTCTACAACCGTTTCATCGGCCTCGCTGCCCAGCGCATTGGTCTCGACTCGGGGTCTCGCATCGTAGGCGATTGCTGCGCTGCGTTTGAGGTCCGCTGTGATCATTTCGTGAACCTTCTTGTTCACGTCGCCCCTTTCGATGGGGACCCATGGTTTCGGTATCGATGCGAGGATGGTCTTGTTCAGATACAACCGCGTCGCATAGATGAAGGATACGATGAGAAGGACGAGAGTGAGGGTCGCGGCGATGATCCATATGTTGTATGGTTGGTTGTTGGAGTAAGCCTGGTATATAGTGTCGCCCGGGGTGACGAGGAGGAGGGCGGCGAGGAGGAAGCATAGGACGAAGTAGAAGCTGCCGTAAATAAAACGGAAAATTGCGCGTGGAGAGAACATCGGGAATGGTGTGATAGGTGCGACTCGAGGGAATCAACCCGGGAGGTGACGAGTTTTCTGGACAGAGATCATGGACTGTCGGGTCAGTGCATGAGGTAATGGTGCAAATCGGAAAAGCATGGCTGGGTGAATATGCGCCGATGCGAATAGTGTCGATAATAGTGGCGTGAATGGTCAGAAGAAGAGGGACGTAGAAGGCTAAACATTACATAGGGAACGGAAGAAGGAAGGGGAAAGGTTTGAGGGAACGAGTGTGAGAATGGAGGTTGGTTAAGATGGCGGGAGGTTGCGCCGCACGTAGCGTGATGGTGACGACCTGAACCGGGAACCGCGAAAGACAGGCGAGCGCGGGAGAGGCTGGGTCATTTTGTTTTATTTCGCTGCGGTCCACTGCTCATCCCCCCCAAATTCAAAAGCTCAGGTGGGGGTTCCAATGGGGACCCTTGTAGCTTCCAGCTTTCAGGCTTTCCGATTCAAGATTCGGCCTAGCGGCCCAGGCGGGTGAGCGGCCAACGGGCACTAGCCATCTACATTCCAATCCGGTCTCGCAAGATCACAATGGGCCGGGCTGCTGGACTTGGGGGAATCCTCGGTAGCACCACCTCATTTTCTCGTTACCGCTGCTCTGTGGACACGAGAAGGCATGACTAGCGTCTAGAAGGTGTCTTACATGTGTGACTGCGCCCAATCGCCGGCATCCAGTCGTCTTGTGTCCATTCTGCTTCTGATCCAGACCGGACGGACTCATGCAATTACATGTGATAGACTTTTGGGCTTGCAATCGGTATTGTGTTTTACTTTCTTTGATTGTGTGGTACGCACACTTCATTATGCATGCGAATATCTTTTTCGTCCGCTTCGCCCCCCAATGCGCCCCTCACCGACTGCTCAATCTATTGATCCATCTGCACCAAGCACGCACCTGCGACATGGCCCGTCCCTACCGGGCCTGTTGCATCTCAGGGAGCAATGGTCTGTCCTCCTCGGTGGGAGATGCTTCGGTTGAAGCTTCCTTGGCTAGTCTGATATCCGTGCGACTTAATCTCAAGTCGCTCGCGTAAGGCTCAAACTCTGCCACAACCGGCGCAAGGCCCGTCTTCAGCGCAGACAACACTCCATCCACCTCCGGCGTGGCCCTGCTTCCGTGGATATCCGTCCAGTGAACTGGGAAGTTGGCCTTGAACGCCTCAATCTTATTGATGATGACGGTGAAGTTTCGGATGACGGACGCGACGTCTCTGTGGACGTTACCAAACTTGTCCTCCTGGATGCTGTTCACCAAGAATAAGCTGAGCACATCAACGGCGTTAATGTACTGGCTCAGCTCCGAGTACGGGGATCCCAGGATTACAGCAGTGAGGCGGTTGCGGAACTCTTGGCGGAAGATCCAGCCCACATACTCGTTACCCACGATCGTCAGTGCCCAAGTCTGGATCTGGGTTCTCAACTGAGGGGAGGACAGAGCCTCTTGCTGCTCCTTGCTCAAGACCTTGTCCCGCGCACCCCGAAGCGTCTTCTTTGCCAGAGGGCTGAGCTGCGAGACGGGAGAGTGACCAGGGTGTCGTCCAACCGACGTAAGGGCCTTTTCCACTTCGCCGCGCATGCTCTTGTTCGCTGGCTTGCTCTGGAAGATCGGATCCTCCTTCAGAGGTGCCGAAGAACGAGCCCGCACCTGCTCAGGCTCGACGGGAGGAGCAGGCGCTGCTGGAGGCTTTCCGTACTCATCAATTCTCTTTTCAATGCTCTTTACCACCTCAAGGCAGAGCACAAAAACTTGCGACCACATGGAACCGTCTTTTCGATCAATATCCTCGTAGATAGCTTTCCGTCTGACATCATCGCTTCGGGCAATGTGTGCAAGTTCCCACAGAGCAAAACACTGTGGACGTCAGTTGAATTTTTGTCAGAACGACAGCAGATGACTTACCCGGATTTGCGACTTTTTGCTCTTGAGTCCATTCAGCAGGCTCCCATTGGGATCCTTGGACTCGCTGGTAAGGGGCTTGCCGTTCTTCAGCGGCTCTTTAACCATGAAAGTCGAAAAAGCATGGTTCGCCGTCTTCCATGCACTGGAAATGAGGAAGCCTGCAATAAAGCAGCGAACGAACAGGTGGATGTCGACTGGCTGACTAGGAGGCAGCATGTTCGTCTTGGGGAGGTTGTAGAAGGGACGCAGGAAGAATAGCGCCCATCCCCAGGCCCATGATCGCAGGAGGAAGAAATAGACAACGGATGTGACGAGAATATTGGCAAAAGCTCTGGAGCCTGCCTGGGCTAGAATCGCTGGGATCTCTCCGACAACATTCTTCAAGGTAGCGGAGCTATCCCCCGAGCTCTTCGCCTCACCGTTCTTCGACCTCGAGACGTTGATCAGGATTTTGTCATCATCCTGGTAAAAGTGGAAAAGCGCCTGCACGGCAGCGCTGATGCCCATATAGCAAAAGAAGAAAATCGTCCTCTCGTTCGCTCGCGCACGGTCGCCGCTGTAGTATGTTACCACCCCCAGATTCGCGGTCTCTGGAAGCGCCCACAGGTATATGTAGGAGAAGAGGGTGCTCGAAAAGCTGTAGAACATCCATGTCTCGATGGTCTGGAGACTGAAGAAGAACTTGGTAAACGCGTCGAAGGTCGAATTAGCAGCGCGGACGCCGACGTGGTATTGGGAGATGCGCAGGACCAGTATCGCCAGTCCACAGATGAAGATGAAGAGGGTACGAATGCCAGCGGGGCCAATGGGAAACCATGTCCAAAAGTCTAGCAAAGGTCAGTCGGGAGCTTCGCTCGTAGGTAGGCATCGTGAGCGGCAACTCACAAGAGCTCCAGCCGGACAGAATGATGGCCTGGAAGTAAGAAAGGGCGAGCAAAATGGTAGCCGTGGAAGAAAACCGTCTATGCAGTGCAGGCTGCAGAAAGTCCTTGTAAGGCGCCCTTCTGACTGTTGCCGGTGCCATGCTGACAGCGCATGGTCGATTGACCGTGTTTGTTGGGGAGAAGTTGGCGAGGCTGCACTCGAGCTGCTCGTGCCGGGATCTGGAAGTAAGTAAATAATGCAAAAATCTCCCATGCAACACAACACTGCAGCTTGGTAAGGTACGGGTCAAGCTGTCAGGGCGCCTGGGCCCACCGACGAAGCCACCTGCAAACTGAGGTAAGCCACGACATATCACGTGGAGATAAGATAAACAGGCACCATCAATGCGAACGTGACGTGATTGGATGACGGCAGGCACTTACGTAGGTTCCAGCCACAGCTAACGACGACATCTAGCTCCCGGCATTGCATCACGAGCCCGCGGTTCTCTAACAATACAAGATTTTGGTATCGTCCAAATTGATTCATCGTCGCACGATACGACTTCACTCTTTTGATACCCGTCGCTTCTGTTTTTCATCTCGGAAGATGTCTTATGATCAACTCTCCTCGCTCGAAGCGGGCCGATCAGGTCGCCAGGGCAACTACTCCGACGACCCCGAGTTCAAGCAGCTCCAATCGCAGCTGACGAACAAGATCTTCAACCTGCGGCGCAACATCCAGCAGCTGACGTCTGATGTCAATATTCTCGGCACGAAGCGCGACACCGCTCGAGTGAGAGAAAGAGTTCATGATCACCTAGATAAGACACGGGACCTATGCAAGGAGATTGGAGATGGAGTGAAGAAGCTACAGACCTGGGACGACTTGACGGTATGTTGTGGCGCGCAGAGGATGCATGTTCTTCCGCTGACTTTCATCTTAGAAACAACAAAAGTATGACCAGTCTAGGGTCTCGACGGACTTCCAGAATGCCCTCCAAGAATTCCAAGACATCCAGCGCAAGGCCCTTGAGAAGCAGCGTGCATCGGTCACAGCTGCGCGCGCGGCGCAAGACGGGGAGGGAGCAGACGCCTCGGCTGGCACCGAAGACCGTCTCGAGCAACAGCAGCAGCAGGAAGCCATCCGATTAGCATCTCAGGACGAGGTGGACTTTCAGGAGGCGCTCATCATCGAGCGCGAGGAGGAGATCCGCAACATTGAGCAAGGTGTTGGCGACTTGAATGTTCTATTCAGACAGGTGGCGCAGATTGTATCCGAGCAGGGCGAACAGCTGACGTCGATCGCGGACAACGTGGAAGATGTGCGAGACGACACCCGAGGCGCCCAGGTTGAGCTCCGACAGGCGGCAAGACATCAAAAGGCTGCGCGCAACAAGGGCTGCTGCCTCTTACTGATTCTGGCTGTCATCCTCACCATCGTTCTTCTCGCCGTTTTCCTTGACTAGTGTCGGGACAGTTTGTGCGCTTTCATTTCTGTATGTTGGTTTATTCAGGGCGTTATGGGCGTATGGCCTTTTGTTTGTACACTATCGTCAGTCCTTAGTGCGGCCACCGAAACAATGTTTCCAAAGTTCCTCCGCGTTTCAACTAGGTCCTATCTATTTCATCTTTAAAAACATCGGCTCAAAGTTCCGGCAAGGAACGACCTTGTTCTCCCGGATTGCCTTCTCGGGCGAACCGGTGAATAGTTGGGCGAACCATCTAAGCGCATGTCCAGCCCAAAACGACGAGATCCAATACCAAAACAAGCCCACCGGCAGTTGGCAGAGTGTGAACGGTGCGACTGCGCCGACGAGAAGTGCCGCTCTGCTAAGTCGGACTCTCCATCTCGTGCTCGGAGGTAGGAGTTTGAGGTCGGTGGATAAGCCAAAGACCAGTCGCTTCATCTCGTTGCCTTGCGGCCAGAAAGACGTGACCATTGTCGCAGCGAGCAGCGAAGGCCAAAGAAGCAAGGGATCGGAGCGAGCTGCGATGTCGCATAATAGCTCCCCGGGCGCGTAGTAAACACCCGTGTCCAAGGCTGTAGCAGCAGATTGAATACCATCAGAGGCCGCCGACAGAGCTGCTGCTGTCTGGTCTGAGATGATAGCTGCTCCCTCGCCATCGGACTGTGTTGCTTCTCTGTAGCTGCCGGTGATGAGTGAAAGCAGACCACCGTTGGCGCCGCATACCCGTCTGATGGCTTCGGTGTTGACTAGCCAGAATGGTATGGTGAGCATTGGTGCAAGGTTCTTCCATTCTTGCACACCCCGTTCCCTGTATATTCTTTTCCTTTCCCTGGCCACGTCGAGGACCTTTTGAATTCTGGTTGGAGAGCGGACTGTGTGGTTCCAGGCCTGTACCAAAGGATTCAATTTCGATTGGCGTACTGAAATTCTTGTTGAGTAGATGGTCAACGGCACTCGGAGTGCCGCGGGGATTAATGCCAGTCCGAATATGGCTGTTAGCCAGTCTAGACCGGCGAGGTGCAATGAGACCATGTGATCCTGAGCGAGTTGGATACAGCTCTCTACCGTCTGAATGTGGAGACGCCTGGTGCCAGTGAAGCGCTGAGTGAAGCGCTGCGTATTGTTGGCGAGGCCTGGTCGGAAACAAGTGTGAAATGGTTTTGTAGAGCAGCCGGCTGGCAGGCGCCATGTGGGCGCCGAGATATGACGCGCGCCTCTTAGAGAAGCCATCGCGGTCTGACCTCTGATCCTTCAATGTCGTCAAGAGGCGTTGGGCGCGACAGGAGTGAGCTGTCGGAGAGACCAGACAGGCACGAAGGCTGGTGCGGTGCCGGGAGGGATTGGGTGAGGCTTGAGACTGAGAGAGTGAAGCAAATCAGTTTCTTAGGTAAAGCACCCACCAATCAAGTACGTACCTCCTCAGTACTGCTCAATTTCGTGCGCCGCCGGCTGGTTGGCCAATTCCAGTTTGGCGCCCTCAGCCCAGCTAGTGCACTGTATCGGGACGGAAAAGACCTGGACCCTTGCGGGGTTCCACTGTGAGGTACCTACCTTACACGCGGGAAGGTGTGCCGCCCCCCATGTGCAGCGCTGCAGCTCCCCCCGCCCCATTTCTAGCTTGCAGTACAACCTGGCCATTTCAAGTCCCATCCCATTTGTCTCTTGAACATCCCACCAACGTCAATGGGCATGCTGATGCTGCTGGACTTCACCGCAGCGCCTTTCGCCCTCGACTGCCTTTTGGTACAAACGAACTCCGGTCACGACGCAGCATAGCAAGCTCAATCCTCGTCCGCTCTCACCCTCTTGGTCGACTCCGATGCCAGAAACCTGCTCAGCGCCGTCTGGGCAGAAGCCCTTCTCGTTCGGCCTCGATCCGTGGACCCTCGCCTATGTTGTTGTACCGATCATCGCCATCACCCCGCTTGCGACCTACATCATGATTCCTATGCTGATGCGAGGCATCGGCTCGCTTTTGGGCTGGTATTTGCGCAAGAAGACGGAGGGGAGACGGGCCCAGCTTCTCGAGCTTATGACTGCCGAGCAGCAGGCTTTCTCCCAAGCTCGATCGGTATCCAATAAGACCAATGTGCAGGCACAATCATCTGGAACCTCTGCTGGAGGAGAAAAGGACGCCAACTGGACCGGGATTGTCGGCTTTTTCCATCCTTTTTGGTGCGTCGACCTCGGAAGAAAGTGAAAGGCGGCGACTAACAAGACGCAGCAACGCTGGAGGCGGCGGAGAGCGAGTCCTCTGGGCCGCGATCAAGACCACCCAGGAAAGATACCCGAACGCCCTCTGCGTCGTCTATACTGGCGACCACGAAATGAATAAGCAGTCCATGCTCGCGCGTGTCAAGGTTTGTGCCTCCAACATCCATCCCCTCTTTCCGCACTCACACAGTGTCACAGACTCGGTTCAACATCGACCTCCACTCCCCGACCATCAACTTCTGCTACCTGAGCACGAGACACCTCGTCCTGGCCTCGACGTGGCCTCACTTTACGCTCCTTGGCCAGTCATTGGGCTCAATGATCCTGGCGTGGGACGCCTTTCAGCTGTTGGTCCCCGATATCTTCATTGACACCATGGGCTACGCTTTCGCTCTGGGATTGTGCAAGCTCCTCTTCCACAAAGTACCCACCTGCGCATACGTGCACTACCCGACTATTTCGACCGATATGCTGGAATCACTCGACCCCAAATCTACAACCGGAACGCAAGGTGTCAACGCCGGCAAAGGCGTTGGCCTGCGGGGCACGGTCAAAAAGACCTACTGGCGACTGTTTGCAGCGCTGTATTCCCGCGTTGGATCCACTGTTGACATTGTGATGACGAATTCGACTTGGACGCAGGGCCATGTCCAGAAGCTCTGGGGTCCGCATCGCCAGGCCAGACATCGCACCAACCCGATTGAGGTCAACTACCCCCCTTGCGCCGTTGAGGAGCTCGAGGAAGCTGTGGAGGTATCCGAAGCCAGTGAGAAAAAGCGGGAGAAGGCCATGGTCTACATTGCTCAGTTCCGCCCTGAGAAGAACCATCAACTCATCATTCAGTCCTTTGCCGAGTTTCTCAAGACTAACACAGAAGCCGCCAGGGACGCGAAGCTGGTCCTGATCGGTAGTGTTAGGGATGACCATGATTCCAAGAGGGTGTATACGCTGCGCCTCCTTGTCAATGAGCTCAATATTAAGGACAGAGTTGAGTTTCACTTGGATGCGTCCTGGCCTGAGATCTTGGACTGGCTGCGCAGGGCGTCTGTGGGCGTGAATGGCATGTGGAACGAGCACTTTGGCATTGGCGTGGTTGAGTACCAGGCTGCGGGTCTCATCTCTGTTGTTCACGACAGTGGAGGTCCCAAGCTTGATATTGTGGTCGAAGTCGATGGCCAACCTACTGGTGAGTGACTCTTTGTGACCTTTGGGTGTGCTAGCTAACAGGACTGCAGGTTTCCATGCCACCAACGTCAAAGAATTCGCAGAAGGCTACGAGAAGGCCCTTTCCATCAAGGACACGCTTCCTATCCGCCTCAGAGCACGACAGTCAGCCAAGCGATTCACCGAGACGGAATTTGACAAGAAGTGGATCGCCCAGATAGAAAAGCTCGTGGCTATGACGCCCTAAATGCATTGCTCTTAGTTGTATCTCTATATGTACCGATAGACTCGAGGATACCCCTTTCCTTCAGACACCTCAATAAACATGGAAAACGTTTCTAGAATAAGAAAAACGGTCTACATCATCATGTCATGCATCTAGACAGTAAACGCGCCGCTATTCTTCTGCCGCGGCTCGCTGGCCGCTTCAAAGACACCATCTTCAAACTTGATGCCCTGCACCGCGCTGCGGCCCTCGGGAACCCAGGTGACGACGTGGCCCTTGTCGATCATGCTGGCAACGGTGTCGTTGTCGAAGGGATACTCAAAGGTGACGGTGTTGGGCATGAGCTGGTCGTGTAGTCTCGGCTCGCGGAGGGCCTGCTTCATGGTCTGGCCGTGCTCGAGAACGTGCCAGGTGACCTGCGCCGTGGAGCTGATGATGCGGGAGCCGCCGGCCGCGCCGACGGTGACGTAGAGCTTTCCGTCGGGATTCTCGACGATGATGGGCGTGATGGACGAGAGCGGCCGCTTGTTTGCGCGGACAAAGTTCGCAGGGGACGGCTCGAAGCCGAAGGCGTTCCGGACGCCGGGGATGGAGAAGTCGTTCATTTCGTTGTTCCTGGGGACGTTAGTCGGAGTGAGGGCTGGAAAGGGGTCAGTGGTGGGACGTACAGGATGACTCCGGACAGCGGGTCCATGATCTGGGCGCCGAAGAGCAGGTTCACGGTGGTCGTGAGGGATGTGGCCATGCCCGACTTGTCTGCGGTCACGATGTGCGAGGTTCCGAAGCCTTCGCTGGAGTACATTCCGTGGGGGTCGTACTTTTCCACCGGCTGCGTCTGGTTGTCGAGGATGCGTCCTCGCATGCTCTTGGCCGTGGCCTCGTCGATGAGAGTATCCTCGTACGGTCCGATTCCTGCTACAAAGTCCGGATCGCCGAGGAGAGAGCGTGCGCCGTAGGCAAAGCGCATAGCCTCATCGAAACGATGCACGCCGAGGGTCACGTCGTCGCTCTCCGAGGGGTCGAATTGCTCCATGATCTTGAGCGTGTTGAGGGCTACAGCACCGCTGGCGGGAGAACCGATAGATGTCAGGCGGTAGCCGCGGTAGGTGATGTTCAGGGACTGGCGGGTGATGACCTTGTAGGATTGCAGGTCGTCGAGGGTCATTGTGCCGTTTGTGGCGCGGACCGTGGCGACCATCGACTCGGCGATGGGTCCGCTGTAGAAGGCTTCAGGGCCTTCCTCGGCGATCTTGGCGAGCGTACTAGTCGTGTTAGATGTAGTTGGTTTCGTAGATTATGAGCTACTTACGCTCCATATCTCTTGCGATAGATGGTGTCGTCGAGCTTGAGAAGCGTTCCTATCCCGCTGTTAGCTGACTGTGAACACCATTTGAGAAGCTTCAGGCGTTAGTTACCATTAGGAGCAAACTCTTCGGCCCAGACAGGATCCTCGACAAGGAAGTTCTTCTGGTTCTCGATAGCTGAAGCCATATATCTGACCAAGTCCTCCGAGACTCGGAATCCACCCTTGGCCAACAGGGCCGCCGGAGTTACAACCGTCTTCCATGGAAGATACTGTACATTCGTTAGGTGAAGTTTCACAGTACCCCAAGAACCAAACTTACGCCGTACTTCTTGTGGATGTATTCCAAACCACGAACTTCGCTCGGCACGCCCACAGCCAGGCCTCCGTACACACTCCCCTGGACGTTACCCTTGTACATGTCCTGGAACGCAGCAGCGGGCGCCGACTCCCTGAAATCAACAGACTCATAGTTTCCGTCCGAGTCCCTGATGACAACGAAACCGCCACCGCCAATTCCCGAGTGGTACATGCCCACCGTTCCAACGCAGAAGGTCGTGCCGACCAAGGCGTCTACCGCATTGCCCTGTGAAAGCCAGTCAGCATCATCCTTCTACAAGCCTCCGGCAAACTGAACATACGCCACGCGCGATGAGATCGCGTCCTATCCTGCTGCATTCCACAGACTCGCTCGCAACTGCGCCCGTGTCGCCGCCGTTAGGGTCAAAGACGAATTCCGGTATCGCGGCAGCCGACACAAGCCGCAACTCGACCAGAGCCAGCAAAGAGGCGTAGAAACGCCGTAATGAGAGAGATGACCCTGGTTTACATAGTCAGTACGAACATACTCCCAAAAAGTGCTGATCCCACGGGTTGGGACGAACTCACTCATGTTGGAGTGAACAGACGCGGAGGTCAGTGAGTCTTCAAGACCGGACGGAAGCTCCGAGAGCCTATCGGCGCAAACGCCGAAGACTGATAAGCCGAAAAAGGGAAGACTTCTATGTCTTCAGCTGTCCAAAGTGTTGTTGTCTCTCCGAACTGTCTGGCTGTCTAAGAAAACATAAACAGTCTACCAAACCTCCCGCCAAATCACAACACGGAGAAAAAAAAGGTTGGGTGCGATGGCGAGCTCAAGTCTCCTCTCTCTGCGCCCCCCATTCCGTGTTCGGGGGTGGGCAGGGAGTGGGAAAGCGCCATGACTTATGTCGATTGCGAAAGTGCCCCAGCAGAGACGCTCACAAGGTCTCGGGACGCCGCCGCGGGGATCCACCACCGCCGGGCTTACTGATAAGGGAAGCTAAGCTGCCACACCTGCACCTTGGGACCTGGGGGACGCATGATAACGATCACCTGGCGCGGCTCCACACTGGCGACCAATCAGGCGTGGGCAAATTAAGTAATTCTCAGCAACTTCAGACGGTGATAACTTTTTCTCACAAGTCACAAGCTTCAACTTATTGAATGTCGCAGTACATTGAATTTTGGCTGCAAAAGGGTGCTGCCACAACAACGCATCCAGAGAGTCTGTCCCAATCTCACTGAAATACCATCTGTCTGCTTGAAAAATCGGATTGAGTGTACCCCAACGGTTACAGACAGTCACCCAAAAAACTTTCACCGAACCCGGCTCATGGGTTTGCATCTTCGGTTGCTCCCGAGACTCAATTCATCTTCACTCCGCCCGGCCCTCACTAGCTTCCGCCTCACAGCCGGCCGCCGCATCCCCGCGGCCTTCACACTTAGAGCCATGTCGACAACAGAGGCGGCTCAGCAGCCACAGCCCGCGGCGCAACCCGCCCAGGACGGCGCCTCAAAACCCCAGGGAGGACAGAAATGGCAGAACAAGAACGGCAACTTCAAGCAGAACGGAAAGCGCCAATTCCAGGGCCAGGGTGGCGGCAGGAGGGATCCCAAGCAGAGGAAATCGAAGCGTGAGAGAAACATCACGGAGGGATCGTCGGAAGAGGTCTTGGCGGCGGATGTGCAAGCGCTCATCGCCTCACGCAAGGACTTGTTCCCTGAGACCGAGGTGAGGGAGGGGGAGGACGGCGCAGTCGAGACACCTCAAATACCGCTCCCTGATCTCTTCACCGAGATCGAGGTAGAGGTGAAGGAACTCTCTTCAACGGGTGACGGTCTTGCGGTGCAACCTCACTCCCCACAAGTCTACGTCGTCCCCTTCGTGGCCCCTGGCGACGTCGCAAAGATCAAAGTCGTCCGCCACGTCCGCGAGGAAAACTACTCCGTCGCCGACTTCCTGTCAGTGATCACGCCCGGCCCCCTGCGCGACGACTCCCGGATCAACTGCAAATACTTCTCCACCTGCTCCGGCTGCCAGTTCCAAATGCTCGACTACGACACCCAGCTCGCCCACAAGCGCACCATCGTCGAGAAGGCGTACAAGAACTTCTCGCAGCTGCCGCCCGAGCTGGTCCCGACCATCAGGGACACCATCGGCAGCCCCCTGCAGTACAACTACCGCACCAAGCTCACCCCTCACTTCGACGGCCCCCCTGGTTTCCACAAGAAGGGCAGGCCCAGGAAGGCGCTCGAGAAGGTCCCCGAGGTGGGCTTCAACGCCAAGGGCAGGAGAATCGTGCTGGACATCGAGGACTGCCCCATCGGAACGGACGCCGTACGGCTGGGCATGAAGCGCGAGCGCGCGAGGATCGCCCGCGACTTTGGCAACTACACCAAGGGCGCCACGATCCTCCTCCGCGAGAACACCACGCGGTACCCCAAGAACGGTTCAGAACAGCCACCCGCTGAGCTCCCCGAAGACGCGGTCCGCGTCGAGACAGACACCCACGTCGACATCAAGACGTGCATCTCGGAAGCCACGGGCGCCATGTCGAGCGAGTACATTGACGATTTCATCTTCACGAACCCGGCCAACTCCTTCTTCCAAAACAACAACTCCATCCTGCCAAAGTTCACAGACTACATCCGCCAACACGTCATGCCGCCTGCGGGTCCCAACCGCGACCGCATAAAGTACCTCATCGACGCCTACTCGGGCTCCGGCCTCTTCACCATCACGCTCGCCTCGCTCTTCAAGGGCAGCACCGGCATCGACATCGCCAAGGACTCGATCGAGTACGCCCGCAAGAACGCAAAGCTCAACGGCCTCCCCGAGGAGCAGTGCAACTTCATGGCCGCCGACGCCCCGGAGCTGTTCAAGCACGTGACGTACCCCGCGGACGAGACGGTCGTCGTGATCGATCCTCCGCGCAAGGGCTGCGATAATGACTTCTTGAGCCAGCTGCTGCGCCACGGGCCGAGGCGGGTCGTCTACGTGAGCTGCAACGTGCACACGCAGGCGCGCGACGTCGGCGTGCTTGTGCGCGGCGACGGGGGCGACGGCACAAAGTACGAGATTGAGAGCCTGGTGGGATTCGACTTCTTCCCGCAGACGGGACACGTCGAGGGCGTGGCGGTGTTGAACAGGGTGGAAAAGGACGCGTAAACAAGGTCAACAGGGAGACAAAAAGTACACACAAGATACCATCGTCATTCCGTAATATAGAATAAAAAGTACCAGGCCACCCGGGGAGGTGATTGCATTTATTTCAGGAAACTCTAGTCCGTCTTTTTTGTTTATCGTGGTTTAGGTCTTTGCCTTCTACCTCATGTATCAGGATCTTGTACAAAAGAGATGCGGACCTCTAACCCTCCAACGCCCTGTTATTGGTATCCTCGAGCAGAATCTTCAACGCCTGAACGAGAACCTCGAGAACCTCCGCCCGCCGGCTCTTCTTGGCCGCCTCCTTGAGAACCTCAAGACCGCCCTCCTCGATAATCTTCTTGCGGGCGTTAGCCCCAGGTGCACCCTCGGCAGCCACCATGTTGTAAATAATGAAACCAGCCCGGTGACGCAGGTCCTCGTTGTCATCCGCGCACATGTCGAGGACAACCTTGACTCCTCGCTCACGGTCCACAATGGCTTGTACAACGTTTTCGTGTCCTGTAAGGGCGGCGAGAGCGCCACCGGCAGCGCTGCGTGTGCCCTCATCCTCTGCATCGGCTAGGGCAAGGAGAATGTGCATGCGGCCCTTTGCCTGGGGGCTACCGTCGGCATACAGCGCCAAGCCTTCGACCGCTTGTACGAGGTTGCAGATGAGTTCGACGGCAGCCTTCGATACGCGCGCGTTTGAGCAAAGCAATTGGTCTTCAATCTGTGGCCAGGCTACGCGGATGATGGCTCTTCTAGTGTCAAGATCGTCAGTCGATGCGAGGTTAGTAAGTGCCATGAGCGCTTCAAAAGTTGGAAGCAGGTCTCGGTGCTCAGCTGCTGGGTCCGGAGGAATGATGGAAACAAGCGGTCTGATAGCTGAAGCTTGAGGATTGGAGCGGCTGCCGCCGAACACGAGAGCCGGGTTGGTGCTGATAAGAATTCGCGCCAGAGCCTGAGCGGCTGTCCGCCTTCCTGCGGCCTCAGTCTCTGGAAGTGTCGCCCACGCCGTGAGGAGTAGTTTCACAGCGCCTTGCTGTGCCAGCTTTCCACGCAAAGAGGTTGTAACTGATAGGGAATAAATGATAGCGACAGTGAGAGAAAGTGACGCAGGTGAACCAAACTTGCTGTGCGTGACCAGGACCGGGGTGACGCCAGCCTCAAAGACACGCTTGCACCGTTCTGTGACATGGTCGTCATCGTTGAGGGGATCAGGCCCAGCGCCCTTGCCAGCTGCAGCTGCGTATGCCTTCAGCTGGTTCATCTTCTTGTCCTCCTCAGACAGCTTAGGTTGGTATCTAGTGATATTCACCAAGATACTGAGCGCTCCATAGGTCAAGGGAGACTTTGGCGGGGCGTCCGCCAGCTTCTTGACCAGCTTCTTCAGGAAATCTGGGTTTCCCGCAAGCTTCTCTTTGATGGCTGGCTGGATCGATGCGTACGCCAGGCCTTCGATGGAATGTTGATCTCCATGGTCGTCGTCGCTCAGGAGCATTGATGTGAATCTCGTTGAAAGGTCTTCGATGGTAGTGATTGCCGGTGAAATCTTCCCTTGCCCCTCCTCATTCAGCGCCGGCGCCGGGGGCACCGCCTTCATTCTGAAGTCAGTCAGATCTAGATTGGACGGCTTCAAGTCCGGTTGTTGAAAGGTCTGAATACCATACCCTCAGTTTTGCCAGGATGACGGCTGCCAAGTTTTGGACCTGCTCCGAGTGCCTCCGCATGGCGACGGAGCCCTCCTGGACGGCGTACTCGGGATCTTGCTGCATCTCCTTGGCAATCTGGTCGGGGTCCTGGTCGACAACCTCTTCCAGCCACTCGGTGCAGTACTTGTTCACTGCGTCACGGCACTGCGAGTTCATGCAGGCGGCGTTGAGCATCTCCAGACAGGCGGTTTCGACTTTGCGGCTCTTCCACTTTCTCCTCATCAGGGGGCCCAGGGAGCTGAGGAAGCCCTCGCTGAGGAACAGCTCGGCAGTCAGATCCGGTACGATGGGGAAGGCTGAGGCAGCAACGCAGAAGGCGACAATGTAGTCATCGTAAGTGCCCCTCTTGACCTTGTCGAAAAAGAAGCCCGAGAGCTTCTTGGCACCATCGTCACCGGCGGCCTTGAGATAGGCAGAGGTGGCCACGATGGCGTGTGCGCGGACGATCTCTGGCTGTCTCATGTCGAGGTATGCCAAGATGGTGTCGACGCAGTCGCTGTCGATGAGTTTGCATATCGTGGGTGCGGATGTCTTGGCCTGGATGAGCTGAAGGTCGTCATTCAACAGCTTGGTGAGCTGGTCCAGGTCGCGGATGGTCTCGTCGTCTTCCTTGCCGCCCTCCATTAATCGCGCAAGGACCAGCAGGGTCTCATCCTCTCTTGAGGGCTCCGTCTTGGGAGCGGAGGCTTGGGTGACGGCAGCCATTTGATGATGTGCTGTGTGTGTGCGTGGCTCAACTGGGAAAATGGTTGAGCAGAGGTACTTGGTGTAGGGTATAAGGTAGATATGTATATTTTAGGGTATTCCAAGTCTGGTGGTGGGTAGGTGAGGACAGACCTGGGACGGAAGAAAAAGTCTAGAAGGAGACGGGATGGGGCGGTAGTCAATATTTGTACCTTTACCTTTACTTGGAAGCTTAGGGGCGGCGGCGGACTGTGCTGCGCGGTCTGATGGTCACAGGGTGCGGCGATGACAGATGCGTGGAGGAGGTTTGGTCGGTCAATTGCTGAGATAAGAAAAAAAGACAGGAAGATGAGCCCAAGGGGTTTCACAACTCTGAGACTTGCTACTGGCCAGTGCTACCAGCTAGCATGGAGGCAGTTACGTTGATGGGCGAGTTTAGCCACAGAACACGCTGGGTACGTACACGCAAGATGACAGAAAGTGCCAGCCAGACCTACCTAGACCCAGACAGACCTGCCTCTGATGCTCGACCTCCCTCTGACCTCACCTGTTGAATGGAACACCGTTGGCAGGATGCGGCGGGTGTCAAGCTGTTCAACGTCAGGTCTCATCCTCGTCCCTCGTCGCGGTTTCCTTTTTTTAGGTGCCACGGGTGCCCCTCCTTGGCCCCCATTCGCAACGCAACATGCAGGGCACCAGCACATACTATGTACACCAAGCACGCACTCTAGCACTCAAGCTCATACCGGCGCCGTGCTTTGTGGTTGCATCACAGGGGACCAGTCCAAACCAAACTCTCACTCTTCCCAACCAGCTCCAGAACCCAAACTCAACAGTTACACCGCTCGGCTTCCGCACTCTCCCTCCGTCATCCCACCTCAACTTATATCTTCATACCTGCATCCCTTCCTCCCGTCTGCAGAGAGACAACCCCAAGTGCATGAACACCGCTCGGCTCACTCTGCTGAGCCCTTCCAGCCCCTCTTGGCCGGCTGACTAGTCAAGCAGGTACATCCTGATAGAGTCCGGCCAACAAGATGCAGCTGCGTGTAGACGGGCGGGGCGGAATGCTTGAATGCACCATGCACACCAACCATCATTGCCTCAGCCCGCCGTCACGCCCCTACACCACTTAACGCGCCCCCACGCCAGACCGCGCCTCGAGCGCTTCCCACCCTGCCTGTACGCAGCACGTAGCCTGGGTAGGTATTTCAGCGAGATGGCGAGTCGAGTCACAATCTCTATTCACCAGGCACTACATACGGAGGGTGGCATTATGCTCTGGCGCAGTAAATTGGTCAAACGCTAGCATACCCAGCATCTGTTCCGAGTAATTGTGCATGATCGCTACAGATCTTCCCCATGTTTGCTGCAATGACCTCACTTCCCCATTACCTACTAGGCGCAGTAAATCTCACCAGATATGGAATGGATGTCCAGTGAGATCCCCGGGTCCCTGTGACGCATCCCGCGTGCTGCCAGGTAGGTAGGTAGTTAGGCGTGCAGTGCAGTGCAGTGCAGTGTGCACCTCCGTCCTCAGCCCGCTGCCGTACTGGACCTTCGGAGCCTGTTCCCCGGAGCCCTTGCCCGTGGGTGCCATCCAATAACTGCGCTTGCCTGTTCCATGGCGTCGGCCGTGCACAGGCCAGCCAGCAGCTCCGTCGTCAGTTATTTCTGAAAGTGAAGCAAGCTTAGTTGCATCACCTCACCTCACACAAACCCCTACATCTCGCCCTGCCCTTTTTGGTGATACCGCGCCAAGAGACCTGGTCCAGTCTTCCCTCTCGAAGACGTAGGGTAGGATTGAAAGGGTCCAATTGACCAAGGGGTCTATCCCCCAATACCATTACCAATACCACACATCACACACATGCTGCTCCGCCGGTGACACCTACCCGCGACCTGGCCGCCAGCCGACGAGGCCATCGCCATAGCCCTTCCTCAACATGAATAACGTCGACGCCTCCGACCACTACGAGGTCTCCTCCCACGAGACGACCCCCTCGCTCCTCTCCATCGTCATCGACACGAACCCCCGCGCCTGGGCCGCTCTCAACGATGTCCTCCCCCTCTCCAAAGCCATCGCAAGCATCCTCGTTTTCGTCAACGCCCACCTCGCCTTCAGCAACGCCAACCAGGTCGCCATAATCGCATCCCACAGCAACCGCGCAGTATGGCTCTACCCCACAAAGCCCGAGCCCAAGGCGGCCTCGACGAACGGCGCGTCTGAGGACGTTGACATGGCAGACGCCTTTGCGCCGACCCCGAACAAGTCCAACGCCAACAAGTACCCCCAGTTCGCGCAGATCGAGAAGGCGGTCCTCGGAGCGATACGCGAAGTCATCAATCAGACCACCGAAGCCGACCTCTCCTGTACAACAACCCAGCTGTCAGGCGCGCTCACGCTGGCTCTGTCGTACATCAACAAGGCCTCCATGGCGCTCAACGAGACAAACAAGACACCGGAAGCCACCCGCGCGACCTCCTCCGCCCTCACGCGCCTTCATGCACGCATCTTCATCCTCTCTGTCTCCGACTCCGAGCCGGTGCAGTACATACCCACGATGAACGCCGTCTTCGCGGCGGCGCACTCCCAGATTCCCATTGACACCCTCGCCCTCTCTGGAGACGCAACATTCCTCCAGCAAGCGAGCTACATCACCGACGGAACTTTCATGCAGGCAGCCAGTCCTAGGGGTCTACTGAGCTACCTCATGTTCGCGTACTCTGCCGACGCCGAGGCTAGATCCTCCCTAATCCCACCCACGCACCACACAGTCGACTTCCGCGCCGCATGCTTCTGCCACGGCCGCGTGGTAGACACCGGCTTCGTGTGCAGTATCTGCCTCAGCATCTTCTGCGACGTGCCTGAAAACTCCGAGTGCCTGACGTGCGGCACCAAGCTCTCTCTCGGGAGCTACGGCGCTAAGCCCGCTGTTGTCCCGCGGAGGAAGAAAAAGAAGAAGAAGGTACTGGCAAACGGCAACATCAGGGAGGAGACGGGTACTCCGGGGGGAACACCACGGCCAGCGTAATGATATATCACGAATGCCCGCTTGGGCCATGTAAAATCAAGAAGTTGCTCAGGACAGCATCAAGCTGAGCAGGCACAGATCCTGAGCTCCAGGACAGGTAGATTTGGCGTTTGGAAAGACGGCGGTTCGGTATCAGCCTTATACATCAATCATCAGCCGGCCTTATTGGCTCACATCATACTCTGGTACATTTGCAAGTGACTGAATGCAAACTCTCTAGGCGATTGTCTGAAATTCATGCCAGTAGCGCTCTAGGAGCTAAGCATAATGCGTGGAGGGTATCACTACTAAATATCACTGCGAGAGCCGGCATATCTCATCCCGTCTGGGGATGCTCTCGCCAACCTGGCTCAGCGCCCTGGACGCAAAACAACCGCAACTCCTCGTTCCCCAATCATGTTGGCCAGTGTCACTGAATGCCAATCCAAAATGGTGTGAAACAAAGTGCGCCCTCAAGATCCTGGGTCAACCCGAATCCGTCGAGCACCTCGCGTGACCTGAGCTGACTCCCCCAGGCGGGACATGACGCATACAGGTTCCTTGTCTGAGCCGCCCATTGAGGCGAGCGCGAAGGAGTCGGTGTTGTGCGCGAAGTACAAATAGTAGCTCGTCCGCGTTTTCTTCACCGTCATCACGCCGATCGCCCCAACCGAGTTGCAGTTTCTGACGCCGGGATGTCCCATGAAGTCGTTCGTGATGAAGGACTCCATGATCGCGTCTTCGTCCCATTCTTCCACATCTCTTCCGTTTGGTCCTCTGCGGGTGTTGCCGTAGATGCGCTCTGCACATCTCTGAGACGCCATTGTCGTGGCCATGTGCTCACCAGTGCCACTCGTTACGGTTGCAACGCTGACTCCATCCGGGTCATTTGGGTCACAGGGCACGACGGCCGTTCCGATGCCCACCAAAGCAGCAGGGCCTATGCGTCCCCGGTGCTTCATTCCGATGCCACCAGATGATGAACCTGCCGCAATCCGACCCTTTTCGTCAATCGCGATTGCACCCACAGTGTCAGTGATGATATCCTCCTCCTCGAGGTCAGCAGCAGAGAACGGTCTCTTAATACCACGAGGACGACATGCCTGCAGCTGCGCAACAGTGCTGACATGTTTGGCTCCGTCAGACCATAGAGGGGAGTATGTGCCATCACGGTCTCCCTGGTTGAGGTAGTCCCCATCGCTCGACGGAAGGCCTCTCTCTTGCAATAACTGAGTGCGAGACTTATTGGAAGACGGCAAGGAAGCGCCGATATAGCTCAGAGGTGCTCTTTCTATGCCTTGGCGTTGCGGCAAACTTCGGGGATTCGCCAGTACAGAATTGTCTAGAAGTAGGCTAGGGCCCTGCTCCAGCGCCGGGGAGCCTCGATGCGGGGAGTCAGGTTGGCCTTCGTTCCATGTACCGGTAAAGATAGCGCTAGCATGATCCCGTTGCAACACTTTGGTTGTTCGCGGAGAGCCAGGCACCGGGATGGTTTCATACTGATGGGCGATATCAGATGTGTCGTTGGCTGGTCCTCGAGACATGCCTTGCTTCGATTTCTCCTCAGCTCGCTTGAGATCCTCTTGCCATCGAAGAAATCGGTCTCTGGCGTTCTTGGAGACTAGGTAGTCGTTGTGGACTGGCTGCATGCCATGCTCCTGAGCAAAATTCTTGGCACCCTCGCCGACGAGGATATTGGGCGGAACTCGTCTCAGGGAAAGTGGCTGGTTGCTTTTGTCCAAAATCAACTTGGCAAGGCAGATGGGATTTCGGACGTCTTAAGTGCATCATTAGTACTGACCTTGCCGCACTCGTTCAATATATACTTACTTGGCACGGCGCCACAAGCACCGCTTCTTCCGAGATAATCAACGACGGTGGCATCACATTCGACAGTACCGTCCATCGAGAGATTCGAGCCGTAGCCAGCATTCGTGATTTCTTTGTCTTCGAGAACGCGCAGGGCAATTTCGACAGCTTCCGTAGCCGAGGCACCGGACTTCAAGAACTTCATTCCCATTGCGGCAGCACTATCTGGTTAGTCAAGCAAAAAGGTCTGGGAGGAATGACTTACTTGCTGCAAGCCTCCAGGTGAACTCTCTCATTCTGATGGCTGTGGAAGCCCGCTCCGGCATGGATAAAGATGGCTCCAGGGAATCTTGGCTTATGTATCCGCTTCAATACTCGATCGACTGTGCCATCTGTGCCGCCAATTGTCTGCACTTCGGGATCTGCCTGAAGGAGATGCTGGTCGTTGCTCAAGGAATCCGTGGCCGTGCCTGTGGTGGTGTCTAGCGTGGCTCGCCTGGCAATAGCATCAAGGGCTTCCATTCCACGGCAGTTCAGCCCAGCTGCGGAAGCTTGGCCGGCATACAGGTATTCTGATGAGAATACTGGGTCTCAGTCGATATTATCTGGACCGTTGAAAACGACCGTAATAGCTAGATAGCCTGTTGTTTAATGGACCGAAGTAAATGAATGAGCAAGCATGCAAATCGAAAGCAGCCAGCGTTCTAACGACAGGAAGTCCAAGTAGAGGCTCAAAAAAGAAGGGTCTGCTGGATGTGAATGCTGATGGTAGGCAGCCCGGAACCGACCATCAGTCTCCCGAGAGAGAAGATGTGGTAGATGTGTGAAGATGGGGGAAGCGACAAAGATAGATCGGCGGTAAAACAACTCAATGCTAGAGCTTTCGGCTGCAGGTGCGTAGAAGGCTGGGGGCTTCCCGTAGGCCAAACAGCTTGATGTTTGGAAGTGGCAGACTGGCACAGAAGCCTTCGCCTGCTCAGCTTAGACAGGGAAAGTAAGTGATGATGCCGGGGCCCTCCAAGCTCCTGGCTAACAGGTTATATGCAGGCAGGCCCGTTGGAAATGGAACTGCGAAGTTGCCTGATTTGAGCACTCGAGGACTGATTGAAGATGCCTGAATAACGACACAACAGCCTCCGTGACTCAGATCGCATGTATGACATCAAACTCCCGCGATAGCTACCCGTGCATACCAACGCGTTTTGCACAACCGCAACTTGGAAATGGGGATGGTCTTTCCCAGCATGGAGGACTAGCGTTGCTTGGAGAAGGAGCAGGCGGGTGCTTACCTAAGTCATCACAGTAAGTTGATACAGTCAAAGCACCACTTAGCACAGTCCTGCCAGCTCGACCTGGGGTGCCTGGTGGGGATGGGTGGTGGGGCACCGACCTCACCATGGCTGGAGAATCCACCACCTCTGATGCACAGCCGCATGTTGGGAGCTTGATCGGTGACAAGGCACACATTTCCGACCACCTTGGACATACGTCGTAATCAGCATCACGAGTGCATCGACGACGTCCCGGTCCATCCTCCCACAACCTGGTGCTGCATCTGGGCTAGACTTTAGCCGAGCAAACCTCAATTACATCCAACATGGCGAACCAAACGCCTGCCGTTGTCATGGACAAGTAAGTCAACCAATGTCACCCTGCCCCGCCCCGCATCCCCCGAGGCAGACGTCAGTAAGGTCATCACCAGCTAACAGCTCATCAACAGCGGCACGGGGTTCTCGAAGCTCGGTATGCCAATTGCGAATTGATCCCCTTTCGATTAATAGCTCTGACACTATGATCAGGTTTCGCCGGAAACGACTCCCCGTCCTTCGTGTTCCCGACCGCCATTGCGACGAAAGGTCCCGCTGCCGGCAGTGGAGGAACTGGTTCTGGCCGCCCAGCCGTTGCCAACAAGCCGTCCTTCTTGACCGGTGGTGCTGGCCCTGGCGGACACTTGAACTCGAAGCGAGGAACTGAGGATTTGGACTTCTTCATCGGTGATGAGGCAATTGCTGCGTCAGGAGGACCAGGTCAGTGCACACGGCGACGACGAAGGAATGTGCAGCAACCTGCTCACCGATACTCTAGGCTACGGTCTTCACTACCCCATCCGACACGGTCAAATAGAGAACTGGGTATGGACTTTACGTAACCGCACGAGAACGGGATACTAACGGCACTCAGGATCACATGGAGCGCTTCTGGTCCAACTCTATCTTCAAGTACCTGCGCGTAGAACCCGAAGACCATTTCTTCCTTCTCACCGAACCTGTACGGCACGATTCAAACACATTCTCTCTTGCCCGAGTTGCACAGTCTGGCTGACCTTGACACAGCCCCTGAACCCTCCCGAGAACCGCGAGAACACGGCCGAGATCTTCTTCGAGTCCTTCAACTGCGCCGGTCTCTACATCGCCGTCCAGGCCGTGCTTGCCCTTGCCGCCTCTTGGACGTCCTCCAAGGTTCACGATCGTTCTCTGACCGGAACGGTTATCGACTCTGGTGACGGTGTCACCCACGTCATCCCTGTTGCCGAGGGATACGTTATTGGATCCTCCATCAAGTCGATTCCCATCGCCGGTCGCGACCTGACCTACTTCGTCCAGTCGCTGCTTCGTGACAGAGGCGAGCCGGATTCGTCATTGAAGACGGCCCAGGAGATCAAGGAGGAGCACTGCTATGTGTGTCCCGATATTGTCAAGGAGTTCTCCCGCTACGACCGCGACCCCACACGCTTCATTAAGCACCCTGTAATCCAGCCTGGTGGCCGTCAGGTCTCCGTCGACGTCGGATACGAGCGTTTCCTTGCCCCCGAGATCTTTTTCAACCCGGAGATCTACAGCTCCGACTTCCTGACGCCCCTCCCCACCGTTGTCGACAACGTCATCCAGTCCTCCCCCATTGACGTTCGCCGTGGTCTGTACAAGAACATCGTCCTCTCTGGTGGTTCCACCCTGTACAAGGATTTTGGCCGCCGCCTGCAGAGAGATATCAAGCAACTGGTTGACGCGCGCATCCGAGCCAGCGAGGTCCGTAGTGGCGGTGCCAAGTCTGGCGGTTTGGAGGTGCAGGTCATTACCCACAAGAGGCAGAGACATGGTCCCTGGTTCGGTGGCAGCTTGCTGGGCCAGACTCCTGAGTTCCGCTCTTATTGCCACACCAAGGCTGAGGTGAGTAAACTCTGGTTGATCGTTACGAAAACGTCTTCTGACTTCGTTCACAGTACCAAGAATACGGTCCCAGCATTGTTAGACGATTTGCGCTCCTGGGTGGCCCTGGTGGTTCATAAATGTTGGGCGAATAACATAGAGACTGCGACTCAGGTGTCCACAAAAAAGCTACTCCTAGCACTCCTCCTACCACTTAACGAGAATTCAAATCATGACCATCAGTCATGCAATCCTTTATGCGCGAGCGTGTAGCAATGTGTCTGCTTTATATGTTTTTGGGTTTAGCTGTAGACATTGTAGCCATCTCAACTGCGAGTTATCAGAGACCCGCGATCAGCCAATATGAGTTCCTGTCTAGCTTCCCCGAATTTCTTAAGGTGATGTCCTTTGTGCCTGTGCCACTGCGACTACTTTCTCTCTGGGGTCTGACTTATCTCGGCCCCAGTGGTCTTGAGTACGACCTCACGTACAATAACAACAGACACAGAAAAAAAAGAAAACGGCCTCCTTAAAGTCACCCCGCAACTCTATTCTCTCCCCAGACTGCAGGCTAGAAGTTAATTGGGGTCTTTCGACTTCAAGGCAGACTCGAGGTGCACCAGGACCATTTGATCATGTCCAAAAGGTCATCACGCGGCTTCCAGTATGGCTTAATCCAAATTGATCATTACTCATTCCCAGTAAAGGTATGAATGAGAAGCATATCATACACGCTGAACTCCCTCCCAAGTAGGTATCCTTATGAAAACAAACCAACAAATCTCATCACCCCAACCACCGAGGAAACATAACCGACCGCCACCGCCCGCCCGCTGAGACACCCCCTTTTTGTTGAGTTCAGTTGACTCCTCTCGAAACATTTTGTTCAATTATCTGCGTCCCGTGAGGCTAGCGGCTTATTTGCTGTTGTCGACGACGTAGCGGCCGGCGATGGCGCCCTTCTTCATCATTTCGTACACGTCGTTCAGCTGGCTCAGGCCGACGACCTTGTAGGGGGCGTTGATGAGGCCGCGATGGAAGAAGTCGAGGGCCTCGGCGGTGTCCTTGCGGTTGCCGACGTAGGAGCCCTTGATGTTGATCATGCGGATGACGGTGTCGAAGACGGGGGCCTTGAGGTAGGCGTTGGCGGGCAGGCCGATGCAGACAACGGTGCCGCGGGAGCGGACGTACTCTGAGGCCTGCTGGAAGGGCTTCTCGCTGACGGCGAGCAGGATGACGGCGTGGGGGCCGAGGCCCTCGGGAGTCGCCTTCTTGACATCCTCGACGAGGTTGCTCGAGGTGGTGAAGTCGACAAACGCGGTTGCGCCGAGCTTCTTGCACATCTCGGCCTTCTCAGCGCCGCCATCGATGGCGACAGTGTGGATGCCCATGGCCTTAGCGTACTGCAGGGCGAGGGAGCCGAGACCACCGCCGGCACCGACGATGGCGACCCACTGGCCGGCGCGGACACCGGACTCCTTAAGTCCCTTGTAGACGGTGATACCGGCGCAGAGAACGGGGGCGACGGCCTCGAGGCTGACATCCTTGGGGATGCGGGCAACGTGGGCGGCCTTGGCGATGGCGTATTGCTGGAAGCTGCCGTCGACAGTGTAGCCGGAGAGGAGGGCGTGCTGGCAGAGAGGCTCATCGGCGGCCTGGCAGAAGGTGCAGGACAAGCAAGAGCCGTTGAGCCACTTGATACCGGCGTGGTCACCAATCTCGACATCCTTGACGAGCTCGCCGCGGGCGACGACAACACCAGCACCCTCATGGCCACCGACCAGGGGCATCTTGGTGTCGAGGGGCCAGTCGCCCATCATGGCGTGCAGATCGGTGTGGCAGACACCAGAGTACTTGACGTTGATGAGAACCTCATCGGGACCGGGCTTCTGGACGGGAATCTTCTTGTAGACGGCGGCTGCTATGTGTTAGAGACGAGTCAATGCTAGGTGATCAAGATGTTACATACGTCCTCCGGTCTTCTCAATGACTTGAGCCCATTGCTCGGTTGGGACTTCGGTGGCCATTATGATTGTGTTGGGGTGGTTTGAGTTGTGAAAGGTCTGGAGAAGGGACGAATCTGGGATCTACCTGTTCTAAGACGGAAGTAGATGTTGAGTATGTGAGATGGAAGACTGTTGAGCTTGGATCGCTTGATTTGATCAGACGGGATCAATGGACTGGCGAGGAGGACCTTTTATAGAGATGGGAGCAACATCTCGACCTCGACCAGGACTAGGCGTGTAAGTGAGGTGTAGGGATAGCATGGTATGAGGTATCCCGTAAGGTAGGGGGAGCTCGGTGCGGCGGGTGGTTCGCGTCGTCAGGATGGATGGATGGGTTGACTGAATTGGCAAAGAGTACACAGGTACGTCT